TTATTTCATATTTTTTGCAAGGCACATTTTTATTTTTAACTCTAAAAAAGAAACACACATATATTCTACGGAGTATTTCCTTTTTCCCAAACCATTCTCCTCTTCCTATCTATACAAATACCTTCTTTTTATCTAGCACACTTGTTCCACATTCACCAAGTGCACAAACAAATCAAGACCGTGACATCACCTTTTCAATTAGTAAAACCCTATATTCCCGTCTTTCATCGATCTAATTAATACTCCATTTCTAGTAATCTTGATTTTTTTATACAAATAAATCTACTCCATATCCAATAAATATCTCCAAACTCCGAAATAGAAATAGAATTACGTAACTCAGGTCCAGAAGCAGCCTTGACGATAGTAGAGAGGATCTGCAGGCCAGAAAAAACGTAGTTCTATTTGCAACCACAAAATGACTATTCACAGCCACAAGTAATTAAAAATAATGCTCCGTAGTTCTTAAAATCTATGTTGCCCCTGCATAACTAGCCCATGCCACCCACCAGAGTTCTAACAACCGCATCCAGACTTCCATATCACTTGTCTTCCTCGGTTCGTCTTAGACCTTGGCATGAGATTTGGAAGACTCGTAATTTTGAATCTATCCCATACCCGAGGGTGTCATTCAATTCTTGAGGGTACTCTTACTGATTTTGCAAAGGGTGCTAAACACCCCTTTCTGTTCTTGGCCAATATGGTAGAAGAGATTTTTATTCATGTGGGGACAACTATCCTTAAGGTTGCTATGCTTCGTAGACAAGGCTCGTTCCATACTTGATTTACGAGCTCATGTAGTACTCGCTTCTATCTCTAAATGCTATTTAGAAGATGTTCTCTTCACCTGATCTGAATGTTTATGATCTGAAATTATTAAGTTCTGATCTGATCTGTTCTGAATTTTTCTGATCTGATCTGATCTGATCTGAATCTTTCTGGTCTGATCTGATCTGATCTGAATCTTTCTGGTCTCATCTGATCTGATCAGATTTGATATGATTTGAATATTTCTATAATTATAATTATAATTATAATTATAAATTATAATTATAATTATAATTATAAAAAAATATAATTATACTTATAATAATTGTAATTAAAATTCAAATTATAATAATTATACATATTACACTAATTATAATTATAGCTATAATTATAATTGTAATTATATTTTTAATTATAATTATTTCTATAATTATAATTCTACTTATAATATAATATGTATTTCTATAATATAGTTATAATTGTAATTGTAATTGTAATTATAATTATTTCTATAATTATAATTATAATTATAATTATAAATACTAAGTATATTAATAAGTATATTAATAATAATTATAGTAATAATAATACTAATGATTGTTATTATTAAAATTATTAGAATAACAAAAGTGATAAATCATGTTTGAACTTTTCTGATCTGAATGTTTCAGATCTGATCTGAATATTTCTATTCTGATCTGAATATTTCTGATCTGATCTGAATGTTTCTGATCTGGTCTGATCTGATCTGAATCTTTCTGATCTGTTCTGAATACTTCTGATCCGATCTGATTTGATCTGAATCTTTCTGATCTGATCTGATCTAATCTGAATTTTTCTGATCTGATCTGATCTGAATAAAATAAGAATAAGCAATAAGTAATAAGAATAAGACAAACAGAACAACTTACTACACTCCTTCGAAGATGGTACTCTTGATTGAGATGAATACATTTTTCTTATTAATAGCTTTATGCTTTAATTAGATTAATGGCTCCATGCGTCCATTGAAAAATTAATCTTGCTATTGCATCGGCAAGTTTTGGAACTCTTTTTAAAATAAGGTGTTATAAACATAATAAAAAGTCGAAAACGAGAATGATTATTATAGAGAAGTGTTGATGGCACCAATGATGTGTAATAAGGATGCTTTTTGGACCATTTTCAGTCCAAAACCAGATTAGATCAAACTAGATCAGACATAAACAGATCAAATCAGTCTTGAACTGTTATAAAATACACAGAGACCAGACGTTTACCAGATCAGACCAATTCAGACCAAATCAGACAAGACGGGTTCAGACCAGATTTAAGCAGACCAGACCAGACTTAAATAGATCATACCAGACCAGACCAAACCAAACCAAACCAAATTAGTAAATTTCAGTCCAAAAGAAAACATCCTAACAATAGTGGATTGTTTGTGGCTGTGTTTAGAATTGCCTAGAAAAAATTAAAACTTTTCAGACCCAGTATTGACCTTGTTTGACAATCGGCTGTTAGTTGTTAGCTGTTGGCTGGTTGTGTCAACTGTTTCCTAACAGCTGGTTGTGTTAGCTGTTTTGACCGGCTGGTTATGTTAGCTGATTATAAATAACTGTTTGGTAAAATTGGTTGTTTCGAAATGGCTGATAGAGTGTACAAAGACATATAAAGACATAATAATACTCATTGTATTTTATTATTGCTAAAATGAAAATTTTATAACTATTGTTACTTCAACAATATAAATCATTTTTATAACTGGAAATTTTAAAATTTGTTGAATAAAATCTATTTTAATATCTACTTTGATATATCGAATGTTCATCATACTACAAAAATTTATAGTATCTAATTTTATAATCACTCAATCATCTAATCCAAAAACATCAAATCAATTCAAGATAGAGAGCATAACTAATAATATAAAATATTAGTTAAGCATATATTATTTGTCTAGATAGTACTACATATTTGATTAAACAAGTTTTGTTTGAAAAAATTAGAGTAATTATTACTATATACTACATATTACTTAAATGATTAATTTAAAAAATGATAACTCAAAACAATGAAAGCAAAAGGAGTGAAAAGAAGAAAAACTGGTAAGCAAAATAATTGAGTTGACTAAGTTAAAAAAATGAGAAAAACCACAATGAGATTAAATTGGAGCTATATGCAATCACTTTGAGAGCTTTGAGCTATACCCTTATGGGAATAAATTGAACCAGCCAAATGAAGAAGCTGCTCCCCTTAGCTTCTTCAACCATCCATTTTTCCAGCTTTTCAAACTCAACAAGCTAATTTTAAAAACCATTTACCAAACATTATTATTAGCTTCTTTGACTAATCAAACAGCTGAAATGGGTCAAACAAGCTAAAAGCCGACTGATAAGCCATTTGCCAAACATACCTTATGGACATGTTTACTTTCCCGCTTAACTCAACGTTAGGTTACTAAGAGACCTGAAGTAAACATTTTGTGCTGGGTAAATGCATGCTTAATAAGCGGATGTACCCACTTAAGCGGCGCTTATGAAACGCAGGGCCCCCCATGTTTTATTTTATCGGTGATTTAAGCATTTCTTTATTGACAATTTTGCCCTTACTTCATAGGCTTATTTTTTTTATTACACGTATACCCTGCAGCCCTTCTTCAACCTTCTCGTTCTCGCAATCTCACGACCTTTCATTTTCTGCCAAACTTCTTTCTCTTCCAAATCGACACCGGCGGAACTCCTCCATGTCGCAATCGACACCTCAAGTAAAATTAAGCTTTAATAGGTATATTCTATGAGATAGATTTTCGAAATTGTTGGATAAAAGTTTAAACCTAACCTGCGATAACCTGCTATTCGTATACTATTTCAAAATCGTATTGCTATTTCCGGAGAAGTGTGGAGGTAGGGTTATATGTGGTGTTAAATTTGGACCCAACGTTCCAAATTATCCCTGCAATTCACTTTTTTGTTCTTCTTTGATTTGTTTACCTTCCCTACATATTTTTTTGTGTGTTTGTACACTGCCTCAACTTTCCCTTCATTCCACTTTAATTGTCCTTCTTCCCCTGAGTTTTTCATTGTGCTAATAAGTAATTATCCCTTTCCTGCAAATTTTTGTTGGTGAGCAAGGTATGCTTATATTTCTATCCATTAGTGAAATATAATGCAGAGTGTGTTTTAAAATTCATTTGATAGTTTCTGTTGGAGCTGCACCAACTATGCCAAAATATAGCTAAAATATTTGTCTTTGCAACAGATTAGTGCCTCTAGATGCATCAAGTATTTTATTATTCTGTTTCGTGTGTCAACATTTCATGTGGCTGCCTTTTTCTGTTTTTGTGTTTTTTTTCCAAGATGACACGTGTTGAAAAAGCAACTAGAAGGAAATGGACTATACAAGAAGACCAAACTCTTATTGCTTGCATGATCGAATTGTATAGCGGTGACACCCATAATGGAAAAAAAGGAGGATTTGAAGCAGGATATTTAAGCATGCTAGCAAAAATGATGTCTGAAAAGTTACCTCATTCTCACTTGGATGCCAAACCACACATTGAATCTCGTATAAGACACTCAAACAAGTTTGGCAAGAATATTATGACTTATTAAATGGCCGCACTGCTTCACTAAGTGGATTTGGATGGGATTCTATAACAAAAATGGTCACGGCTCCTAATGAAGTATGGGAAGCTCTTAATGAGGTAGCATGATTAATTAATTTTTTATTACGTCTTAACATTTCCCTTGTGTTTTATTCAGAATTTTACTAGAGGCAAGCCTTTTTGTATTAATATGATTATATAATTTCAGAGTGAACCTAAGGTTGCAGCATTAAGGCGAAAGAGTTTGTGGTATTATGAAGAATTTTGTACTATATACTCGGAGGATCGTGCTACTGGAGCTACAGGGATGGAGTGTGAAGATATGGTTCAAGATACAGAACTGGACTCAATATTTGAATCAGAACACATGCAAGAAGTAAATGACTCCTCCATGCCTGGTATTGCTAATAGAAATCTATCAAAGAGAGTCGCGAGCTCTGCTGCCAATAACCGTGGCAAGAAGAAATGCACGAGCAGTTCAAGCATTGATATTTTTTTTATCTTATGTAGAGACTGCTGCTATTCGACTTGAAAAGGCGGGACTAGAGATGTCAAGGGTGGATACAGATATCGCTGATAAGACGTCATGCCTCCCAACGGCTTTAGATCAACTTGAAGGCATGACTTATACAATGAAATATAAGCTTATGAAGAAAATGGGAAAAAACCAGAGTGAGCTGTTATTCTTTTATGATTTGACTGATGAAGAAAAGATGAGCCGGTGCAAATGGTATTTAGAAGATGAATCATGATTTATTATTGGATGGTTTCATGTATTCCATAACTGTGTCCTTGCGAGATACGAAGCAAGTATGTTCGTCGATGGAGAAAGAAATGTTTCGTTTGCTTCTAGCGAGATAGCATGATCAAAGATAACAGGTACTGCTAATCCTATAAGGTTATTGTTGACATTTTGTATATAACACACCTTTTAAGCCCAATGAAGTAAACGTATGTTAGGTTATTTAAGCCCAAATTGAAAACAAAGTAAACATATTCTTAATAAGCCAATCTTAATAAGCAATGGCTTACTATCCCAGGTCTTAATAAGCATTGCTTATTAAGCAACAAAGTAAACATGTCCTGTCTTTTAAAGTTTTCTCAACTACCCAAAGGCCCAAATTCAACCAAACGCGTAGTAATTCAGATTGGATCATTTGAGGAAGGCGCCAGCACGCAGCACGGCATCGAGTAATCTGTCATCCACGAACGGCCGAGTGTAGAACCTCCCGCCGAGTCGACTCCGGCAGGCGCCAGCACGCAGCACGCAGCACGGCATCACAGTCATTCATCCAGGAGCCAGCAACGCAGCACGCTTCTTCAGTCATCGCCTACTCGCCTCAATTTTTACCCTTCCGTAGTTCCGGTATTCCTATAGCCCTTTTTTATTGATTAGTTCATTAATTGATTTAATTCATAATTGTTTATAAATATTAGTTAAATTAATGATTGTGTTGTTTGTGGAAACAAAAGCAAACTCTGAATAGGTAACTTATTACTTTCAGTGTTTTTTTTTTGTAATTTTTATCAGATCTACAAATTTAGCTTTTGATTCATTCACATGCATCATCAGATCCATTCAGAAAATCTAAGATATCAGATCTTTACCTAAGATCTCAAAATGACAGAAAAAATTCATGTTGTTATTTTCAGAAAACTTGTCACTCTCTCCAAGTAAAAAATCATACTCAAAATTAACGTAACTGAAACTTTTCAAAATTAGTAAATATTGAAGCATGGAAGCCATGTCTTTAAATAGCAATCACCTATTGCATAAGCTAGAGGGAGAGTTCTACTTTGGACCCCATGTTTTGGGCGATATTGGACTTTGCACCCCATTTTCAAAATCATTAATGTATGCCCTCCATAAGTCCAAAAATTGTGAAGGAGTGTGGTGCAAAGTCAAATGATCTATCCAATATACAAACTGATGTTCTAAATGATTGTATGCACAGATTTGTGAAAATGGGTGGAGGATTTAGAGTGCTGCATCTTGTCAAACCGTTTCTCTCGTTTCTGCCGGAAGTTCAGAGTGCTGACAGAAAGATCCCCTTTAGAGAGAAGGTCATATACACTGTGATCTCTCTTTTCATCTTCCTGGTCTGCAGCCAGCTTCCTCTTTATGGCATACATTCCACAACAGGTGCTGATCCCTTTTATTGGATGCGTGTTATTCTTGCCTCAAACCGTGGTACTGTCATGGAGCTTGGAATCACACCAATTGTGACTGCTGGGATGGTAATGCAACTATTGGCTGGTTCAAAAATTATCGAAGTGGACAACAATGTCAGAGAGGACCGAGAACTTCTGTGAGCTTGATTCCCATACACCTTTACTGCTTAATCTTAAATCCATCTGTCCATTCCAAACAAGAGAGTGATGGTGGGAACTTATGTCCCACCAGTTTCTAGTCTGAACAAAAGAAAACAACTTTTTGTTGTATATGATGTGTGTTTTCTAACAAAAGTGCCCTAATCAAGCTATGTATGTTAAATTAGTTAAACCAACAAATAAATTCAAAAATATAGTTGATGAAACAAAACTTTTTTGTATGAAAGTTTTATTAGGCTTTACTTTTTCAATGCCCAGACTTATATCATGATAGTCCTCTTGGAAGCAGGCTCCTTCTAATGATAATTTTATTTTGCAGAAATGGGGCTCAAAAGCTGTTAGGCATCTTGATTGCTATTGGAGAGGCAATTGCTTATGTCTTATCAGGGATGTATGGAAGTGTCAACCAATTGGGCGTTGGAAATGCCATTCTAATTATTATCCAACTCTGCTTTGCTGGCATTATAGTCATGTGTTTAGATGAACTCCTTCAGAAGGGATATGGTCTTGGTTCTGGGATTTCCCTATTTATAGCTACCAATATCTGGTAACACTACACATTTTAGTATTCACCCCAAAACTGCTTAATTTAACTCAATGGTTTTCTCCTTGTGTATGTATTGATGTTTGCTTAATTTAATAATAATGTCTCAGTGAAAGTATCATCTGGAAAGCATTCAGCCCTACAACCATTAATACGGGTCGTGGAGCTGAATTTGAAGGTGCTATTATTGCTTTGTTCCATCTACTAATAGCTCGAACAGATAAAGTAAGGGCTCTCAGAGAGGCTTTCTACCGGCAAAATCTTCCCAATGTTACTAATCTGCTTGCCACAGTTTTAATCTTCTGCGTTGTCAACTATTTCCAAGGTTTTCGAGTGGTTCTTCCCGTTAGATCAAAGAATGCCCGCGGACAACAAGGATCTTATCCAATTAAATTATTCTATACCTCCAACATGCCTATCATTCTTCAATCTGCACTTGTATCCAACCTCTATTTCATATCTCAGGTACGTAAGACTCTTTTTCTGTGAAGTATAAACATTTAATTCCTGATTTAGTCCCCCAACTATATGCTATTGGTCCTTAACCTTCTCAAGTTCTCATGGAGCCAATTTTGTCCTCGTTATACATTTTAGACTCAATTAAATATTCAAGCATGCATTTTCAGGATCAAACAGTCCTTAAAAAGTTGAAATCGAATTGAGTAATAATGTATAGCTGAGTGACTATATTGGGTTTTAATTCGAGTGTAAAAGCGTAAGGTGTTCTGAAGAATCTAATAACTCTGCATGTACAGTTGTTATACAGGAAGTACGGTGGAAACTTCCTTGTCAATCTTTTGGGTATATGGAAGCAATCTGAATACTCTGGCCAGTCTATTCCGGTTGGTGGACTTGCTTACTATGTTACTGCTCCATCAAGGTGATTATTTTGAATGTATAACCCAATTGATTTTTTGTTTTGTTTTGGTTTTGCGATTGCAAATCCCTCACATGAGTATTTGCATATTGTTGCAGTCTGGCGGACATGTTGGCAAACCCATTCCATGCTCTTTTCTACATAGTTTTCATGCTTTCTGCTTGTGCATTGTTCTCAAAGACATGGATTGAAGTTTCTGGGTCTTCAGCTAGAGATGTTGCCAAGCAACTTAAGGTAAGCTCTGAATATTCTCGTGTTATTCAAATCTGCACCAGTTGTTTTTCAAATGAAATACCCCCACTTTTTAAAACAACTGATTAAAATTCTTCAATCAAATCAGGTTCGGAGATTTTATTTACCCCTAGGCTAAATTACATTATTATAATTGCAGGAGCAACAAATGGTGATGCCTGGACACCGGGATTCAAATCTACAGAAGGAACTGAACCGCTATATTCCCACTGCCGCTGCATTTGGTGGAATGTGCATCGGTGCATTGACAGTGTTGGCAGACATGATGGGTGCCATCGGTTCGGGAACGGGTATTCTACTAGCGGTCACTATCATTTATCAGTATTTTGAGACATTTGAGAAGGAGAAAGCCACTGAACTCGGCTTCTTGGGCTTGTGAGCCCTTTTTAGTTACTTATAGTTAAGGAACCAGTACTCTATAAAGAGTCCCACTGACCACCGACACAGACTTTGCTATCTTTTTACTCATTTTCATTTTGATATCTTTTATCCAAGGCTGATTGCAATGTGGGGAGTGAAAACCCCAAATGTGAGGTTTTCACCCCCAAAACAGCTGCAACCCGGTCTAAAAATTGTATACAGAGGTCTCATTGGCAATCTAGGGAGGGCAATTGACTCTGGCTGCATGGGCGTCCGCCGCTTGGCTTGCGGGTGAAAAAGGCTTTGCTGACCCACAATTGTAAAATGTTAGGATGACCACAATCGCTTTAGCTGGGAAATCAAGTGGTAGATGAAAAAGTAATAGTTTTAAATTTATTTCAAATGAACTCAAGTGGGCATTTTTAATAGGCACAAAAAAATTAATTCACACTTCTTATTTTTTTTTGAGTTTTTTTCGAATTAATGTTAATTAATTAATTAATTACGAAAATAATGCTGGTAAAAAAATATTTACTGATCTACTGCTGGGTTTAACCATGGTTAGGGAAAGTCGTCCAACTGTTGGGCAACTTATAAGTCGCCAAACGGTTTGGTGACTTATAAGTCGCCCAACCGTTGGGCGACTTTCCCCTTCCATATAAACGCAGACCAACAGCTATTGCTAGCCACGCACGATCGTGCCCGGACGGGTAGGCACGATCGTGCCTAATTCTGAAAACAGAATTTCATCAATTTTTTTGCCCCATTTCAACCTAGACTCATCTTTTTGCTATAAATAAGGTCTCCCTTCTCCTGTTTAAGTGTTACGAGCGAGATGCAACACATTATAGACATACAACTCACCGGTAAAACACAGTACAATCATCAAACATTCATAACAATTAATAATCTAATATTCATACTCGAACACATAAATACAACATACAAGAGAAAATACGTAACATTTTGTAAATTGTTCCTACAACATCTAAAATGTTGTAAATTATCTAAAATGTTGTACAAGAAAAACTGCAATACAAAAGACAAAGTAGAAGTTGTCATGGTCATCTTGATCACTCGACCTAGGATCCGCTGTCACCTGCATGCCTACAAACAAACAAAATCGTATTAGTTAATTTTTACTATTATACTAATTCTTTTTTTTTAATCATCAATTTTATTAATGTGAATTACTATAATTAACACCTTACCCACTGGACCCCCCATCGTGTCTTGATGATCTCTTCACATATGTGGCCCTATTATGGCCGGTTTGGTGGCATTTTCCACATCTAACCGTTCCTCAGGGACCTTCATCCATCTCATTCTTAATACGTGTGGAATTAGGTCTTGCCTTAGCCTGAAGCATGGATGAATCGTGCACGATTTCAGGTCCATTGTAAGTAGGCCAATAATCACGATCAGGAATGGGTTTGAAGACTCTATGATATGTGGCCGCATATTGGTCAGATGAGAAAAACTTATCCACAAATGGAGCATAAGACAAGCTACGTTGTCTGCACACGGCTAACACATGGGAGCATGGAATCTTATATATCTCCACCCTTCCCCAACGTTCGGCCACCACAACCGGTTTCCACTTGAAATAACCCTCGCCCTAAATCAAATGGAGTAACTATGTGATGCTTGGCCTTCTCTCTATTCTTATCAATTAAATCTGTGATGTATGGGGAGTACTTGTGGCCTTCTGTCACTCTCATTTTACTGGTTTCACGCCTATTAACAAAATAAGCATTAACCCGGTAAAAGGAAACCTGGACCAAAGTGGTGATGGGCAAATATCTAGCATTTTTCATCACGCTATTGAAAACCTCTGCCAGATTAGAAGTGATGGTACCGTATCTCTCGATTCCTCAATGTATATCTCAAGCATTGACATGTCCTCCATCTGAACTATGGCCCACATATTTGTTATAGCTAGCTCATCAGTGAGGGGCATAAGCATGTACTTTCCCCTGTTCATGGGAAATTTCATTTTCAAACGCAAAGAACGGCTAGGATGAATCATTGTGGCTGTATGTATTTTTTGAAGGATCTCGAGCATGCAAGCACCACGACAAACCATGACAAATGTGGTTGTATGAAAACTAGGGGTGTGCGCGGTTCGGAACGGTCCGGTAAATTGGTAAAACCCGTAATGTATCCGTGATGTTTTTAACGGTCCGGTACGGTCCGGTTCCAAGGATAGAACCGTTCGGTACCATGTCGTTTCGGAACGGTACAAAACGGTACAGTACAATGCCAAACACATGCTAAATTTTTTGAACAAATTTTGCAATTAGTAGATATCATCACACCAACCAACTCACATGAAATGTTGAAATAAATAAAAGAAATTGCATACGTAGTACTAAAATTCACAAATACACAAATAGTGCAACACAACTAAGAAAAAGTATAGCAAATCGATGACGCACGAGATAAATATCATTTTTAATTTACTAAGTTCATGTGAAAATATAAAAACGAATATCATCAAATTGTTGAATATAATAGAAATCTTCAACAATCTTCTTCTTCGTTCTAGGTTAAATATTACTCCGTAGTTCTGATTTAATTTATAGTTGAACCTTGAGAGCTAAAATTTAAACCATATTAATTAAGTTGTAAAAAATGCACAAACATGATACAACAAAAAGTCATGTACATTATATTACTAGAAATAAATATTCATTAATGATTTCTAAAATTTTAATATTCTTTCAATACATACCAAAATATAACATAAATTATCTAAAAAGAAAAACTAACAATATATATATATATAACACATTTTAGAAATCTTAGGGACACATGAATACATACTTGGGGTATAAAATTGTTGGTCTAGATCTATTGATATAGAAAAAATATAAAAAAAAATCAAATGCATTATTTACGAACGGTTCGGTCCAGTATTTTTCGATTCTCAAAATCTAGGACTGGTCCCGTACCCGTTTCAAACGGTACGGTTTCGGTACGGGATAAAAATCTATAAAACCGTTTAAATACCCGGTATTCGGTTCGGTACCATTATGGGACGGTTCGGTACCGGTTCGGTTCGGGTTTTATTGTAACACCCCCAATTTCCCGCCCAAAAATAATACTTGAAATAATAATTTATTGATAATAAACTTGCTTTATTCATTCGAAATTGATAAAAATCTTGCAGCGGAAATAATTTAAATAGGGAAACGGGTGTTACCGCCACATCCGGTCATCTCTTAACCGGATGCACAAGCAACTAAAACAAAACAGTCATAATTAATTGTAATATGAAGACACAAATGTTCAACGTAACTAAAATGTTCATTCATGTCTAGGTTTTACTAAGGCATCTAGCAACCGCTCTCAGACGCATGCAATCAACAATCAAAATAACCATCATCACCTGCACAAATAAAGTGCAGAAAACAAAACAAAGAAAAGAAAACAAAAATTAGCTTTAGAGCTAAGTAAGTACTACCCAACCCCGTAAAATAATCAAGTTTGGCGAAAAATAGTTTTTCATATAATACTATAAAAATAACACACTCCACCAAAATTCTTTTCTCTTTGATTTTTTTCTTCTCAAAATCACTTCTTTACTAAAGTCCTCAACTTTTCTTCGAAAATACTATAGTAATTCTTCTCTTAGAATTTCTCAAACTTCATTTCTTCTCTATCTTTCTAGTAATTTAGAAGGGCGGTGCTCAACACTCTGGTTGAGCCCGGTGGTTACGTTATTATGTACGGCCACCCCGGGACTTTTGCCGGTACCACAACTGCTAATGGAAACGAAACGACTACCGTAAGGTACCACAACTGCTAAAGGGATTCCAAGCCCTCCGAGTAGTAACCACTCCTGAATAAGATATCTCTGAATGATTAGGGACTACTACTATAACTTCTTCTTAAAAAGGATCATAGATCCAAATGTCACTTTAACTCAAACTGTACTTCTTAGTAGTAGCAGCCCTAATCACCCTCCACATTTATCCGGATGTGAAAAACCGACACCACGGATTTCTCCCGTGGTGCTCACCTCTTATAAAAATGTAAATTTTATCTTGACTTTAGATATACTTCTAAAAATATTTCTCAATCTCTCTAAATAATCTCAAAGGTATTTAAAAATATTTAATACCCCAAAAAGTACTCTTAATTTGTATTCCTCAAAATCACATACACATAATTCAAAATTCACACTTAATCACATAATGCATAATAAGCATATAATACGAGGAATTTTTTTTGGATTGGCAGAGAAACTTACCTTAAGTTCTGATATTCCTAGTTCTTCTCCTCTATTCTTGTCTCTAATGATCACCTTTTTATTTAAGATGACACAATTAGTCACTAATTTTATTTGTTAGTAATTTAACTGATTCCCCCCTTATACTATTATACGGATTTATAAATATCTTTATGAATTCCTTCGAATTGATCTTAACCATTAATTAGTCACTTTTATTAATCCTACCACTTTATTCTTGAAACCTCAAATGAAATGAATGTATTTCTATCACATAGTCCGGTCCAATATAGTTAACTAGTCTCTCTATTAACAATCATTAGTCTATAACATAATCCAAGTAAGAAAATATAAATCGTCCATATCCATTATTAATAACTGACCCAAACATTCGGTCTATTATTTTGATTAAATAATCAGTCCATTAATTTGCTATTTATTTTATAAAATTATCCCAATTAAAAGTGACAAAGTGAATTGATGGATAGTCTACCCGGGGGTATATATCCGAAGGGTTATTACGGGGAGTAATTTAGAGAGAAGTCAGAGTAAGTGAATAAAAGTAGAGAGAGAGTGTATTCAGTATGAATGCCGTTTTCAGCGTCGTTACAAATGGGGAAATGGGGGGCTATTTATAGTAGCAATAAATGCCGGGCAGGGACACGTGTCAAGCGCTCATTGGCCGAGGGGTCGCCTCAACTGGTTGGCGCTGGCAGCCGCATGTGGCCGCATTTAATGCGGCTGTTGGATGGGACGTCTGTGCAGAGTACGGTGATCTGTACGCATGTGAGGCGGATATCTTGTCGAGTGAGATGCCTTCGGCCATAGAGCAGTAGCCGAAGGCTCCTCCAACCGAGGGCACCTTGGTGCCGAGGGCTCACAGTACCGAGGGCTACTGTTTTCGCCGTTTTCTCCCAGTTTCTTAGTTTGCTTGAGAAACCCGTTCTGTGAGAGTTTAGACCCTTCGGCCAGGGGGCCGAAGGCACCCCTGGCGCGTAGTGCGGGCTGCTTGGTACTCTGGGCGCTGTGATTTGGGCCTGTTGGGCCTTCGATTGAGTAGTAGGAGTCTGTGGGCCGGGGGTTCCCGGGCCATATACTCCATCAGGAGTCCCTCACTCCTTTTGCCGAAAGGTACTTGAGGGAAAAGGAGTAATTTGTGCTTGCCTTTTGATGTTGTCCTGTCGTGATCTCTGAAGTTGGTGAGGAGTTGTTGCTTTTATGTCCCTGCC